GCCTAGAGGTTAAAGCGTTCGTTCGTTTAGCCAAAACCCCGGGTTCGAATCCCGACATGGGTACAATGTGTGAAGCCTATTTCTGGTGTCCCCTGCCGTGATATTGCTGGAATATTGGTAAAAGCGGCGTAAAACTATACTCACTCGCTTTTTCTTTGGGGTGGGGGTATTGTTTAAGTGAATTTGATAATAATATCCCGAAAATTATTCATGACCCAAAGGTGTGTTTTGTTCAGTTTATAACTGAAATACCGTTCATTGACTCGTCGTCGTCGTCGTCATCATCATCATCATCATCATCGCCATATTTAGTATTGGAACAGATGATCTCAGCAATAGCTTGTCGTAAGAGGCAATGGATCGGGTGCTCGGTCTCATTGACTGGGGGGACCGCCTCTGTGGTCTAGTGGTAGAGCGTCCGCCGGGAGAGCGGAAGGTCCGAGGTTCGATTCCCGAACTCGTCATACCAAAAGACGTTAAAAGATGGTACTTGTTGTTATCCTGTCTGGCGCTCGGCATTAAGGGGCTGAAACAAGGACTGGTCGGCTCGGAGTCAGTATACTGTGTCTGAGTTGGGTATTCATGTTTAACTGCGGCATGGTATCTCAGTGAGCTAGCACTATAAATCGGCATCAGTCCGGACTAGTACAAGCAGCCACACAAACACACACACGTACATGCACGTCGCTATATAAGTGCAATAATCTTGGACGCGACGTTTAACCCCATTTCACCTCACCTCATTGACTGGGATGAAAGCACTTATTCTTCCCCGCCCTTAAGGCGGGGAAGTATACGGGAGAGGTTAAATTTGTAGCATGTAAGTCGACATGTTGGTTTCTTTGAAATTTCAAGCCACACAGTTACCGAAACGAAACATACAAATCATGTGAAATGTGCGTGAAATGTTGATGTTTATCTTTTTCAGCAATAAGAGATACTTCAAAATCTTCTTGCTATTCTGAGACTTAGTCACTTTTCGTAAAGCTGATAACCCATGAATTTTTTTTCATTTTGTTTTTAAAAGAGCTAAAAATGATCCCATTTCGCTAAAGTTAACCGGTCTATAATTTGTAAGAATAAACTATTGCGCATTGAGCGATTATCTCCTTTAGCTATAGGCGTAGTATAGAAGTGGTAAATTCTCGCACTGACCTTGCATTGCTGTACATCGTGCCTTATTCAAGCTGTATCACTGAGAGTGAGTGATTATCTCCCTTACCCGAACAGCTCAATTGCGCACTACCTTTGCAATGTATCGTATGTTATTCAGGCAGCCATCGAGGAACGTTCCTGGAAGCCTGTCACGCGCACTCAATTTTCACACTGCTTTTGCAACATATTGTTCAACACGATTAAATAACAAGCTTCTATAAAGTATGACTTTGTTCAATAAACAACACATGTAAAACAACGGGTTTGATATGAGAATTTTTTTTATTAGTTATCTTCATAATCACATGTATGGCGCTTGCTGTGCATAGTTGAGCACAGCATTGTTTTTAATACTTCACTGTATGTAATGTATGGTACATACTGTTTCATGCGGCGGTTTACGTTTCTGCATGGTTTATTGCTTTGACAAAAAAAAAAAAAAAATCCAGCAGAGATCATACACCTGTATATGTTCTTTGCTTCTGGATACATAGGACAGGTTGGTCTGTAGTTTGCAATTATTTTCCAAAAAGATAATACGGTTGCATGATATCTCCACGATGTTTGGGTTGAACATAGTAACATTCTTCTAAACAAATTTCAAATTTAAGCCGGAAGCAATCACAACACAAACCCAGTTAACCAAACGGAACCATACACAAGAGTGAGTGAGGTAGTTGGGTTTAACGCCGTCTTGAATAGTATTCCGTGTCAGCTTGATTTGGGAGGAAAGTCTGAATTTTTTCAATTTTTAGTTTGTGATTACTTAAACGAAGTTTTGAGGAAAGTGACCTATGGCCTTTGTTTTTACAATATGTAAGATAATTCTCAATATTTATAGATAACGTGACCAAACTGTATGTTCCTAACTTGCTGCTAGATAAATGGGAATCCATTAATGATTGCGTGAGTTTTTACATTTGAACTGAAGTCTATTGAGTATATAATGAGTGGATTCATTACATTTTTTGTGTTCACTATTTTAAAAGTTTGCTTTATTTAACCCAACCAACATTTTGACCAGAAATATTGATATTTGCTGCAAAAGCATGCTTTAGAATGACATTTGTTGCGTTATCTATATAGGATTTTTTTTATTGGTACTAATAATGGGTATATATCATGTTTTGCCTGACAGGCCCAGTTTTCTTGCCTGGGTTTTCTTTGTGCTGACCAATTAAAGACACTGTTATTGTGCTTTCCAAAGATAAGTACATTAATAACAACCAATTTGTACTGAACACAAATTCTCTCCTCCCATAGCTTACACTTATTTCCTCTGCACATAACATTATATTGCGGGGAGCTATTGATGCTCTGCAGCAATCTCTACTTGTTGTAATTACACGTAATCCAAGCACTGGGTTTTGTGGCGCTGACAAAGGTTATTCGCATTCACTGTGGCTGAATGTGGCCTCAACAAAAAACAGCAATCATACAAAAAACGTTTCCCGACTACGCGTAACAAATAATCGTTCATGCGATATACCTGGCGGTTTAACAATGGGGCAGGCATTGTGTGCAGTAGGTGCGCATTAAATCACATAGCTTAAACTGTAAGACAGGTCAACACAGCTTCTAAAACTAAAGTCACGCCCGCCTCGCACAAGCACGCGTTCTTCCACCGTAATAACCAACATCTGAAGCAGATGATATTTCTAATCATATGTCGTCACAGAGGATGCTAATCCTTCTCCTTTGTTGTCAGCCCACGAGTATGACATAATACCCATGGCTAGGGAGACAGCAGCAGTACGGTATACAGGTGACAACACGCCTCAAGAGGTGAGCCATTTAACAATGTCATACTGACTTACTGATATATGTATGTTTCGAAACACCTGCTAATACATACACAAAACACGGGATAACACATTTATTCTGATATTGACTAAAAAATATAAATTGATCGATATCAGTATGAAGGGCACCCGTCCCCACACACCCCTCCCCTAGACTGAGTTTGGTTTTTCACCGCTTTGAACAGTATTCTAGTATTATCTCGGTTCGGTGTATCTGCGTGAACGCCAAAACTGATACAGTTCTAAGACAGTTGCCATTTGTGGATACCTATAAACGGGTATGGTGCTGACAAGCCAAGAATCATAATTTTCAAGGATTTGATTTCATGATCCTAGGCTTCTGGCACGTCCAAAGGACGCAACTCTGTTAGACTCGGCCACCCGTGACCCAAATGTATAACTAATCTCATGTAGGTGTGAAAGGTTAACGCCTTGGTACCGCTAAGGGATGTTTTCTCGCTGTCATTCGGGGCAAAATCGTGCCACTTCGGGACAAGCCGAATGGAGATCCGTGTAACCATTCGTCACCACTCGCCCCTTTCCGTAGCCTGTCCCGGAATAACACGAGTTGGTCACGAATGCCGTGTAACGTGTAAGGGTTACAGCTGTGCTCGCTTTCGAATTTTCGATATTCATGAACACAATGACGACAGAGGGTCTTTTTTTTATCATCATGAGTCAAAGACTCCATGTTCAAATAGTTGAAATGTTTCCTGTCAATCTCTAAAATTAGCCTTGCCGACACCTTGCCAATATATCAATCTTGTTAATATTCAAAACAGTCAAGTGTTGAAATGAACAAAGTTTAATCTCATTAATATGACATCCATTACGATTTCAAAATGTTAACTTCAAGTCTTAAATTATGCAAATCCTGTGGGTTAAAATGGGCCCTTATAATGCCCTTTACTGCTCCTTGCACTGCCTAGGTCAAAGCGAGGCTCTCGGAACTCCGTTGATGTTTTAACTCGCACACCTACAGGTCTATAACGAGGAAATCGAAGAAGCATTTTGATTGGATGGTTGTGTGACAAGGAGAAACGTAGTCTGGTGATCAGGATTCGAGATGCATCGGTTAATGAGGAGGTAAGAATGACCAATTGCGGATTCGTTGGCTTTTCTGAGAGTAGGGATTGAGTGCGTATAGTTTTACGCCGCCTTTAGCAATATTCCAGAAACATCAGGGCGGGGGACACGAAAAATGGGCTCCACACAGTGTATCCATGTGGGGAATCGAACCCGGGCCTTCGGTGTGACGAGCTAACGCTTTCACCACTCTCTTGGGGGGGGGGGGGGGGGGTAGTGGCACAGGCGTTCGCTCGTCACGTCTAAGATTCGGGATAGTTTCTACACGACATGGCTGATGTGACATGACGTGATATGGCTGGAGAGCGGCGTAGAAAATACCACTCACTCACCCTGAGGTTGTTAAAGGTTACCATTGGTTTCGCGAGGGCTACAGGTTGCATGGTACAATATCTGCGCTGGGCTATACTATATTGGTATATAGTGTGAGGGGTGTAGCTTGGTGACGGAAGTTGAAACGCTCTACTTCCATTAATATTGTATATGTTCAATATGAGTGTATATGTGTATCCGTTAGTCATAGAATTTTTATTTTTAATAGACTTGTACTGTGTAATATATGTCGAGAACATATCGCCTCAGTCCCAGCGTGTCCACGCTGGAAATATCTCTATAACTACGTATACAATTATGTCTTAATGCGTGCATAAGTGTTTGTTTTCATAAAGTTTATGACCGTTTTTGGCGAGCTCAGTTTTTTACTTGTTCGTCCTTTTTATTTTATAAATTTAGAGCAGATGAAAAACGGGAAAATTAATTTACTTAAAAAAAAAAAATACTGCCGAGTGTGTATTGTGTATGTACTGTGAATATGCTACAAACGTTCCTGGCACTTTTTGTTTTGGAAATATCTGTCAAAATGTCAGTCGGATTCTAAACATTATTATGAATATGTCCGTTTTAAATAGCACTCCAACTATGCCGCACACGCATCATGTAAACCTCCGGCAGCTGCTCATACATGTTTGAGACATCGACCGTGTGTAGACCAGATGTAGCCGAGCAGCATAACTTGGGTGAATATAACCGCAAACTATCCGTCGATTCAACGTTTCCATGGAAACCGCATCTTCCCGCAGTCGCTTTTCATCCGGGGTCTCAGAATCTCCATATTGTGATGAAGCGAGATCACGAAGATTGAGAACGAAAGGAACCGGCTAGGTCCTGCGTGAGCAGGTTGGCGCGGCCATTTGTGTTGTGCATCCGGCTTCCATTCCAGCCAGCGGACGTCATAGAAGACAACAGAGGCGTGAGTAGTGATCGATTTCATGTTGTCAGAGTGAAGGATGCAACAGCCTGAGGCCTGTTACGACGTGTGTCCTATTTTCGTGAGATCCCACCATCATTGATTTCATTTAAACACAAGCGTCATAAATGTAACCGTATAAATAGATAACATCACTACATTCAGCGTATGAGGTCACGTGACTGTGATGTTCAAGATACTGCTTCCACAAACTCGCGCCAATCAACCACTCCGTGCAATTGAAATTGACAACTTATATTCCGTCCTCGGTCCGTCGGAGGCAGCCAGACAGTAAACCTCTGCAAACATGTGTCCCTCCTCGCTATAACGCTCACGTCAGGTGACTGTTTATAGAAATGTAACAACACATGTCGTATTAGCGAATGCACTTTGAGAATCGCCGTCCGCGTAATAACGGGGACCGGTTAAAGGCCACTGTCTGAATCGCTTGTAACCGAGTGTCAATGTGTTATGACAGTGCTATAAATGTTGTTGGGTGTGCCAAGGACATGAAGCGACCCCGCGCCAGACCTACCGCATTTCTTCGATTATACGCGGTATTCTAGACGCCGGGCCACCAACCACTAAGGACCCCCTGCTCATAATTTATTATCAGACTCGGCTGCTAACAAATACGTGTCCTTAGACATAATTTGTATTTGTTAAAAAACAACTTATCAGACGATGAACTCATGTTTAAAATTGCATAGTGATCGGAAAATTACTGAGAACGACACGCAAAAAAAATCTTATATTATTTCGTGTAACCACAAAGCATTAGATACAGTACGTAATTATTTAAATCAATAATGATTAGTATTCAATTCCACATAACATGTATGGCACCCCCATTCATAAAACTTCAGTCACTGATCCTAAGCGAATCTACTTGCGATTTCCTTTGTCACGAAGTCATTGCACTGGTGGTAAGCTTTCTGTACATAACGCTGTCAAGGCAACAGCAATGAGGGTAATGTCTGAATTCGCAGCCTTGTCACCGCACAAATAATAGTCCTTGGCTGGGTGAGTGAGTGAGTTGTGTTTAACGCCGCTTTTAACAGTATTCCAGTTATATCACGGCGTGTCAGCTTAATGTGGGAGGAAAGCCCGAGGTGATGCAGGTCTCAGACGTTTACCACTTCGGTGAAACCCACGAGCACGGGTATGGTGCTGACAAACTTAGAAACATAATCGGGGCGAACCGGGATTCGAACCCACAATGCTAGGTTTCTGGCGTGCCCAAGGGACGCAACTCTGCACAGCGAAGTGCGGCGACTTAGACGACTGGGCCACCCGTAACCCCACCCCTTTCTGTGAAAACAACGAACTGTATTATGTTGACAATGAAGGCTAATATGACTAATCACTATAACTTCAAGTGTAGGTAAAAGATAATGTTATTAACACTGCATTGAAAAATACCTATAAAATGTTATAAAAATGTCGAGTGAAGACATACACAGAGTATGACATATCACTAGCTAGCAACGGACATCACCGGGGCGCGAGACGATCTTATGAACTGATCGACTTTTATGACAAACATGAAGTATTTGCGACCTGTTTGGCCTGATGTAGCTATGTCAATATAATTTATTCAGTGTAGCGGAGATGAGGTAACTATATTTCATCTACACTCCAATACACGCTTCTAATTGACGCCGGGTAATATATACGCTCTGTTAAAAAACATAGAAGCCAGGTCTCTATTGCACGCCGGGTCTCATAGTAAACCATTTCCTATTTTATACTGTGACATGTTGGTATTTTATAATGACCGTTTCCTGCAAATGTACCGCGTGTCTCTGAGAGACAATACGGTAACCTACACCAGGAAAAGGAGTTAATTCCGTTCAAGTGTTTTATGAATGTACCATGCATTATGGAGAAAGACATAAATAAATCTAATTGTAAAACTGCTTCACGGAAACTCCACGGTGACTGAGGAACTGAAACATTGCATACAGCCCGAACATTGAAAGGCACACTGAAAGGGTTTAGTAGACAGTAAATGTATGTGTCGCCATTAGACAACAAAGCTTTGTGTACACATTTAATTTGTTGAATATGATCAGGAACAATACAATGCGACAAGTCAGTAAAATGAAGTTTAAATTAAACGGGGTCCGCCACGAACATTCAGAAGACACAAGTCTGTTCATAGAGTCAATTAGTCCTGCTGCATGAAAGCGCGCCGCTCAGTGCTCTCCAACACTGGAACCTGTTGTTCTGGGGGTGTTCTAGATCTAGACTAACGTTTAGTCTCTGAAAATATATAATAGAACAGGCAACTACATATAAATTGAAAAGGAGTCCCAGGGAGATGGAAGACCCTGTGAAAAATCTAGACTTGCTTCATTAGAGTAAGGTCGGGGTGTGTGTGGGGTGTGTGGGTGTATGTGTGTGTGGGGGGGGAGGGGGGGGTGTTTGGGGGGTGGTGGGTAGTTATATGGTGCCGCTACTGTAATACAACAAGCTAGCGTTGAGATGAGTGAGTGAGTTGGGTTTAACGCCGCTTTTAACAGTATTCCAGTTATATCGCGGCGTGTCAGCTTAATGTGGGAGGAAAGCACGAAGTAAAGCAGGTCTCAGACGTTTACCACTTCGGTGAAACCCACGAGCACGGGTAAGGTGCTGACAAACCTAGAAACATAATCGGGGCGAACCGGGACCCGAACCCTGGCGTGCCCAAGGGACGCAATTCTGCACAGACAATCGCGGCGCCTTAGACGACTGGGCCAAATGTTTTCCTTTGGACCTGTCCCGATTGGTTGCGTGACCTAACGATTGGTGGTACCATCATTCTGAAGTTCGCAGATCAGTATACAGAGAGGCTTCTGGGGTTGAGGTCAAATTACTGTCATACAGCTGTAATATTACTGAGTGCGTAACCAACGAACACCAAACAAACAAACACAATACCTTGAATTTGACTTCAAGTGCCTTGCAAAAGCTTTTAATTTTATAGGGACAAATCTTTTCTCTAAAACTCTAAACGTCTAAAAGTCTAAAACCTGAATATGCGACAGATAGAAACCACAAATTAACAAATACTCAAATAATATTGATAATATTTCTTTGACGATGCAGGGATAGTGACATGAAGAAATGTTTTGGCGTTTGGGGATGGTCCCTCTACAAGCTGATAAGCACAAGCCACTCTCAAGGACAATCTCCGGCCTCAACCACCCATTGTTACTATATATTGTTATAACATCGCCGGGGCGTTTAATGTTTGTTTTAAACTCAAAGACTTTTTGTATATCAATGGAAGGATATACAATCAATTTATGGAATGTAGGGAAATCGAACCCGGGTCTCATACGTGACAAGCCAACGCTTAACCTCTATAGCGACAACTCCAGCGCCATTGCACCAACTGTATGTGTCATCAGGATATTACACGGCATTCGTGACCAACTCGTGTTATTCCGGGACAAGCCGAAAAGCGACTCGTGCCTCTCTCGTGGCCATTTTTGCGACCGGGTTCCGTCTGAGCGCAAACGGGCATACCCAACACAATTGTCAACTCGTTGCGTAATGTTTCACATATATTTCCCCATATATTATATATATTTCAGTTGCAATTTAAAGCACATCGGAACATGCGGAATTATACAGTATGATAGAACACATTTAACTGTGACTTGGGTATATTTTTAGATGCAAGACATATGTAAAATCAAAAATTATTTCTGAGGGATTCTTTGACGAAGAACTTGAAATCATACGCGCATTTTGATTTGTTTGTCGTATTTTAGCACATAACATTCATCGATAGGGGGACGAGTCTTCTTGCAGGTTACGGAAAGGGGCGAGTGGTGACGAATGAATTCATGCATGTACTGTAGGTCGAGGTCAAACATAGTTTCAAGTATATACACAGTCTATGCAGTAACACAGAGGTCAAATACCGGGTCCAAGTCCAGTGTCGCATTGTGTTCAGGAAACGTTCGCTCGTCACACAGATCACTATCATTGATGCGGGTCTTACACGTTTAACACTTAGCTGAAACCACGAGTATAGTGCAAACAGGCTATAGCCTGTAAGAATGCCGGTTTCGTACTCACGATACTGTTAAACCTAAGGGTTTGGTTCTCGTTTGTTGTTAAACACCGCACTCAGCAATATTCCAGCTATATGACGGCGGTTTGTAAGTCATCAAGTCTTGGCCAGACAATCTAGTGATTGACATCATGAGCATCGATCCACGCAATTGGGATCGATGACATGCATCAACCAAGTCAGCGAGCCTGACCACCCGTTAGTCGCCTCTTACGACAAGCATAGTCACCTTTTACGGCAAGCATGGGTTGCTGAAGACCTATTTTACCCCGGATCTTCATGGGTCGTACACCAAAGGGACCAACCATTTGATATTCTGGGGTGATCGGGATGGGAATTTTATCTGGAGATTAGATATTGTTTCAGTTACAGCTGCAAAACCACATATTTTTATATTATGACCATGCGCCTGAATATTTTTGGTTAAGAATGTCACCTTGCAACAATGTTGGGTTTTGGGGGTTTTTTTTGTGGCAGACATGTTCTTTTTTTAATAGCCTGACGCATTAATTTTTTTTTCAAGAATTTTCTGGGACAATTTATTTTGGATAAAATCCAAGCAACCCTCCAGAATATCAACTGGGCGGCCCCTAAGGGACGTAACTCCATCTACACAGTGACCTCAGGACCATAAGGTGACTTTTTCTTTTCAAAGCAGATACGTTATTTGTCCGCAAGTCATCCCTGTTCACATGGCACCTCCGCGGGGAGGCGTGCGAGGCAACTAGAACAGATCGGCTTTTGTGGCTCGTGACCCGACGGCGTTGTGTTTGCTCATAATATCAATCACTGGTTTGTCTGGCCCAGACTCGATAATTGACAGGCCGGCGTGGCAGACCTGGGACGTTCCTGGGCTGTGGCGTTAAATAACAAACAGCATACTCAGTTATATAGCAGATCGGACAACCATTCCTCAGATAACAGTTGCTTAGCTTGC